GAAACAAAATATCACTATATCGCTTTCCCTTAGTTCTTATAAAGAACATTGTTTTTACCAATTAAACTTATTAAAACAAATCTGTGAAAACCAGAACATATATCCTTTGGGTATTTCAAATAGCACTTATGGAAAATGCTACTTGTATGAGTATATTTTCAATCAATATATTTTATTTTCAAGTCTTATGTGGCTCTTCCTAAAAAAACCTATCTAACTAATTACGAATGTACCTCAATGCTATTCCATTACTTATTTCTTCTGACTTATTTGGCCATTTAATAATACTATGCCGACAATAAACTTATCTTTATAATAGAGCTCTACCCAGAATCGGTTCTCTAACTCCCGGGACTTGGGCTCATTGACCCATCAAGCGTTATCTTTACGCCATGCCACATATTTCTGTCAAAATAATGGGAAAACTGTGCACATTTTGCTGCATATTAATGAACCCATAGCGGGCATTTTATTTCGAATGTTTGCTCATTGGCGAGTCCAGTCACATATCATCCATATCCTGAACAGCGACTTCCTCGGCGATCGTGTGCCTATATGTTTATATATATAGACAGTCGGTTCGAACAACACGTGTTCGAATGGCGAATGCACTCACATGAAGGCAAATACAGAGAGACAAACAGGCGGAGTGAGTGAATTTTACAAGTTATTTTATGCAAGCCATAAATATGCACTTTACACTTTGCACATTTCCCCCGTAACTCCACTCCTCGAACGTCTAATTCCCCCGTTTGTCTTTCGCTGGGCGGGCAAAAACAAACCGCAAATGCCTTGGCCAGATGCTCTTAGTTAGACCAACACAAATACTATATCCAGCCATTCAGACATTCAGACACCCAGACACATGGCAGACGCCATGGTCTTCGGACTACGGACCATGGAAAACCATGGAACACCATGGACTACGGACTCCAAAGTTGAAGTCCATGAGTGGCGGCCCCCAGAGCCTGCATACAAATTATGTACAAACATGTTTTCAGAAATGTTCAATTCATTATCGCTAACAAATGCCGATCATGTTGTGTTCAACACAGTTCAAAGCACTTTTCTGCAAATTATTGCACAGATCTGCCGCTGGATTGATGGCCCGTTTCAAATGCAACTCGGAAGCACAGCCACTCACTTCATAGGCTCTTTTTACCCCGACTTTTTACTCTTGGCGCTGCTCTCCTAATCGTAATTGCTGTTCGGCTAAGTGATATGCCGTGTTCCGAGATTCTCAATTACACGGCAAGAAATGTTCTGATTTAATGAAGGCAGCTGGATTAAATAAATGCAGGAAAAGAACGGGGAATGGCTACTAGAAAATCTTCAACACTGCGAACGCCTTTTAAATAAATAACTTCACTCAATAAACAAAACATATACGAGGTTTTTATATAAAATAAAAACGTTTATAGAGTTTCTGCTTTATAAGAAAGATTTTGGATAAACAAATAGTTCTGTTTGAAAAAAGTTTATATTTTATTATTATTAAAACTTAACTGTAAACTGTCTTAGGAACGCCCAATTAATAATTATTTCCTGATATAGTGTACTTATATTTTATAGTATACTTAATATTCCTGGTTTGGTCTTGGTCATCATTTTTAAGAATGAAGGATTTTTTAAAGCCAATAAACATCGTTTCAAAATCCAAATCATAAAATCATATAAATTTTAATATTTACTATTTATTATAATATTTTAAAGAGCACCCTTTTTTAAATCTTTCAAATTAAGGCATTCCAAAACCATATCCATTTATTTTCGCATATCTTACAATCATATTTTCCATAGTGAACCATTTGTTTGCAATATCAATTTAAGAACCTACATGCATATGTTTTTTGTGTCTGCAGACTGGATATTTCGAGTTTAGCTGGAATCTGTTTAGCAGACTGTACGGCTTTACCCCATCGCTCCCTTTGCTCGGGAACACTTAATACACAATTTCCGCTTGCGGATCGGGAACAGGGGGAAAATCAGAATAAAACCAAGCCGAACAAAACAAAACCCTATAAAGTACTTGCTGCTCGGCAGTGCGACTCTTCAGATGAGAATTCTGTTGCGTCTGCGCACAAAGGCGATTTAAATTACAGAACGTGCCCGGCTGCCAGGGGAATATAAAATCGGGAATAAACAGTGCCAGCAACTCGACGCAACTTCCATTGAGTTTTCCAGGCGGCACAGCACACAAATTAAATAGCAATTAACATGCAGAGGCCGAGGCAGCTGCAACTGCAACTGCGAATCGAGTGGCCACAGGTCAACCAGATGCCCGCAAGTTTACGACTCCAAATCAGCGGCAAATGTGCGGCTAGCTGATTGATTCAAATAAGTTTATGTGTTTGGGCTTAAGTGGGTCACGCCGAGCACTTTACAGCCTTTTTTAGTAATTTTTTTTTTTTAGCTGCCTCCCACGGACAGAGGCACCACATGCTCCACAGTGCGTATGCGTTACGAAAATGATTATAAATTACACTGCGAACGGAGCTGGGGAACTGATAAGTGGACCCAGAACCTCTGACAATTCGATTTAGAAGGGGCACAGAGCACGGGCAACCCACACTTGCCACCACTTTGTCATTGAAATGGTTTAAAAAAATGTAAAAAAAATATAATACAAAGACCTCACTGCGACTTAAGCCACGAAACGATTCTAACAAGTCTGAAAAGCGTAGGCTGACCCGAAGGACGCTTCCGTGGCTGTCTTTTATTTTTCATGACTTTGTCTTTGACCGTGTGTAATAAGTATGCAAATTGCCAGTGCGAATTCGAGTGGAAAACAATTGATTTTTAATGAACCCTGAGGTCAGGGTCGGAAACAAACACTACACACTACAAAAAAACACTCCACAGTTATTGGCCATAAATGATAATGAACTTCGGGCCCGCCTGAATAGCTAATAAAATGTGAAACCAGAAATTACCTCAAACTATTTGGCGAGAAAATCCACTGATTTACGCTGATGTGACGGCTATAAAGCGTTAACTTCTAGGCGAAGAGATATATGTGGCACTTGGTATGGGTTGGGAGTATTTTCAACGTATATACGAAGCTGATTCGCACTTTAACGATTATTTCTTGCAGATTGTAAAAAGATCACACATTAAGGCACTTTTATAACGTATTTGCAGGCACTATTCGGGCATCACTCTGTGGCGATTTCGATTTATTTGCATGCTAATTCGCCGATACTTTGCACATTTCTTTGGGCACACTCTGCGTTGCACCCCAAAAACTCCAAAAATACGAGACTCCGAAACTACGAATTATATTCGCCAGTGGCACTTGATTGCACTCGGTCACTTTTCTCAGCTACTCTATATATTCGTCTTCGAGTCGCTTTTTATCTGAGGGGTAGTCAGTCGCTTTTTGCCGCTCACAAGACTGCGCGCCGCGAGTTCAAAAATTCGAATATTCAACTGACTCCAGAAGTCCGAAGCACAGACCCGTTAACAGACCCGCTAACAGACCCCTTAACAGAGCCTTGACATGCCACAAGCTAAGCAGCTGCGCGTCGCGCTCTCTGGAGTTTCATCAAAACACATTCCCAATTACAAATTCAAATTTACGAAAAGAACAAAAAAAGGAGGCTGCTTCTGACCTTTCTTTAGAGAACTTAGAATTTTAGAATCTTTAGAATCCAATTAAAACATATGTTTTATTAAACTTAAGCTTAATAATTTTAATCAAACGCAACAGACTCTCAGAGAGCGGAGAGCGATAGTAAACAGACCCCTTAACAGAGCTTCGGCATGCCACAAGGTCTACAGCTGCTAGTGCGCTGTTAGTTTATACCAATTTTAACAGCGGCTGTTAGCCACCAGGGCTGCACAAGCAGCAGCTGTAATGTTACACTCGTTGGGGTAAATTCGAGTAGCTATATTGTTCTCATAAATTAACTAAGTATTTACAATACATTAAAAAAGAGATTAAAAAAATTTGTTTGAATACAATTTTAAAAATTATTATTTTTTCGGCAATCATTTTCAGAGTTCTCAAATAGCAATAATTAAGAATTATCCAATGTCATAAAATTTAAAGTATTTTTTAGGGAGCTTAGGTACGTTTTAAAATAAATGAAGTACAATACTTAAGTTCCCTTTATGGCATAAATAATTATACGCAGATAATTCATCTAAGCAACTTCAAACTTCTTCATTTTACCAACAATAAAACTTCAATCTGTTTCTAAAAACCATTACGTATTTTTAAAGCTTCTCAAAGTAAAACATAAAATTAAAAATATATAAGCTGTAATCCTTAATTTTTTTTTAAATATTTTTCTTATAGATAGATTCTGTCTGCATAAGAGGAAATAAAACACTGGGAAAGGAGATTCTCTGCTGACTTTGACTTGTTGATAAGGAAAAACCTCTGGCGAGCTGTAGGTGATATAATCTTGAATGATTAATTACTTCGGCGAGGAATGTGACCACATTGAAGTTCAATATTGTGTTGTTATGTTGGATTATCATTGTAATTAATTACAATATATTAAGTGCAAGTCTGCGTAACTTATGAATGTTATTTAATACCACACAGAGTAAATAATTCATTAATTCAGATGGTAAATCTTTCTTTTTCCTTACAATTCCCGGGGAACAACTTTGTCCAAACAGCAATGATTGTTCTAATTAAAGTATTTATTGAGAGCCCCATTAGCAATACCCTTTAGCGAATTGGTAAGCCACGAACAGCTTCACCCTGTGATTTTCTCAACTATTTGCTCCGCAGAGCACTTATCGCCTGATGATCGCCTACCGATGATTCCCCAATTTCCGCAACGATTTCTCGACGCAGTTACCCAACAATTTCTCCCTGGCGGACAGACCAAAGCAAACTATTTAGCTGCGATTAAAGAACTTCATTCGAGGAGAGTCGAACAAATTGCGGCTAATTTCGCCTGCTGCGAGTAACTGCCTTGTAAATGATATATCTTTCGCTCGGATTTCTTCGCTGGGTTCTTTATAGGACATGCAGTGCAACATACCTCGCCAATTTGATGGGCCGTGCGGAGAGCCGTGGCAATTTGCGCAAATTTGCATAGGAATCGCTGCTCGAAGCGGGCCAAGCTGCCGTCGAATCCGCACACGAGTCGCTCACGTGCCTGCTGGATTAAAATCGCACGCGTGCGTGCCCAGTAGACGGGATAAATGTGCGACAGATGGCTGTCAATCAGCCGGGCCAGCGTGGCGTCCACGTCGGCGGGAAGTCGCGCTGGCATCGGGATTCCTCCGGGGCTGCTCTGCGGAGGAGATGTTGAGGAAGGTTCCGTCAACTAAGGACGACACAGAAAGAAAATCTTACAGTAACATGTACTATAAAAAGCGCTGAAACGAGAGATCTTTTCAAATTGTCCTAGAAATATACATTGAATAATGTATTACACTAAAAAAAATATAAATAAAAATTTTAAAAAATGTTGGTACGGAATAAATATCTGTTATTTAGTCTTTATTTGAAATTAAGAATATTTGTTTTTAAGTTAGGATCAAATGACCTTCAAAGAAGATTATTTTCATTTTATTCATCATTCAATAAAAAGTTCTCCGAGTTGTCCCACATGGAAAATACACTTTAAAAACTTTTTCGAGAGTCATTGGAATTGTTGATTCTTTTTTAAAATGATTAATTTAAATTAAATGACCAGGCTAGGTTAATTTGGATTTCTACCTCATCATGAAGCAATATAACATATGAAAATGTTATGTCTTGAAAATGTTGTGTTATACTATTTTGAGTATGAAATTTAAAATAAGTATATTAAGAATTCTAAGGTTAACCTTTACTTAGAATTGTTTAATATTAAAAAGTGAGTTTTAAATACTTTTTAAAAAATGATCTTCAAATGACAAATGATAACTATCTTTGATTAATTAAGAAGAACAACATGCAAGTACTCCTTTATTTCCCTCTAATATTTTCCAAATACTATGGCTTATGAAGCATATTTTTATTGATTTTTCTTAGTGTAACTTACCTCAACCTCCAGTGGGACTTGGACTTCCTCCTTTTTCGGCTCCAGCTCGTCGACCGCCTGCTGTTGTTCCTCGGCAATGCTAGCACTCAAACTGCATTCGATGGGCAGGGCATCCGTATAGGACCCGGTGCTGCCCTCCGCCAGATCCTCCTCCTCCTCCTGCTCCTGCTCCTCTAGTTCCCCCTGCTCCTCCTCGGATTCCCTCTCCTCAATTGTCGTGGGTGCTGGCTCATTCCTGATCAGGGTTTTCGTGGTCGTGGTGGTGGCACTGCTAGCTGGAATCTTTGGCTGACCCGTTAGCCGCTGCTTGCACTTCTTGAGGTACTTTTGAACCCGCGACTTGCTGCGGTTCAAAGTGGCTGCTGCTGTCGCTGCAGAGGTGGAGGTGGAGGCTGTTCCCGGGTATCGACAGCACACGTAATTAGCATTCGCGGACAGCTGCTCCACCTCTGGGGACTCCTCCTCCTCCGGATCCTCCGCCTCCTGATCCTCATCTTCGAGAGCTATGGGCGCTGCTCTGGCCTCTTTCATGTCCCTGTCAGGGGTCTCTAGGTTCGGGATCTGCCCTCCTGGATTCCCTCCGCCTGGAACATCGATTTGCGTGTCACTCGGCACCAAGATCTCGGCTAATTCCGCTCCTGCTCCTGAACCAGAAACAGCTGCTTCTGCTCGCCCTGCCTCGATGTTCGTGTCAGCCTGGAAATGCAGAGGAAAACACAGAGAAAAAGACCTCAGACACGTGTGGAGTTCAGAGTGCGCTTGTGTATCCGCCAGATACACAATTGCCGCATTTCAAATGGGCCAAAGTTCTTTGGCTCGGCACATGCACATGCAAAGGCAAAGGCAAAAGCAATGGCCAATGCAAAGAGCCGCATTAAACATAGTTAGTTCGGTTGCCACTGGCAACAGGGGTTAACAGTGGGGCAAATCCGTATTTCCATTGCTTATTTTTAGAATTTCCTAACAGTGGCTTTTTTAATAAAAATGTTATATACCAAGGTTTCAAAATTAAGTTAAGCCTTTGTCGAGCCTTATACCCAGAAAACTATTTCTTTTTAACAATTGGATGTTGCAGTTAGTAAATTTTTCAGTGTTGAAAATAAGTTAAATATGTAGCAAACAAACATTTGTGTTATTTTAGGCGAAGTTATTTTGAGAACTATTAGAACTTTGTATCTAATCATTAGTTTAAAAATGTTTTCTAGGAAGGCATTAAAAAAGAATTTCAGGTCAGTGAAAATTTATTAATATATTTATCAAAATTACATTAAAAAACGAAATAAGCGTAAGAATGTACAGAATTCTACAGAAAACTAAGAGGAACTATTGTATTATTTCAATCGATAATTTCCTTGATCTGAATTTGGCACTGTAAGCAAGTAATATATAAGGGAATTCCTTTAACTAACCGAATTCGTACTGAAAGCCTTGATAAATACAGTTGTGATGATAAAAGTTCTTTGATATCATGGAAATGGACACTATAGTTAGAGCCATAGATGTCAAAGTTATAGAAATCAGGCTGCGAATTCCAAGTTTCGATCCACTTTCCCATACCATACCATACTATACAATATGGGATGGGGGGAAGCAGCCCGGTCCGCCTTGTTGCATGTTAAAAGTTAAACAGAAATCAATTGGGGACAGCATTGATCCGAGAGACAAGACTAGGGAAAGGGAGTGCGAGGGGCCCCGTTGCATGACAATCAAATGAAACGTCAAACGTTCGTTTCCAGTTAGCTTTAGTAGTTAGTGGGGTTGTTGTTTTTGCCGCTGCCTCAGTTGTCGTTGTCATAGGTCAAGTGTAGCACAGTAGAATTCACTTTCTTTCAGATACGAGCACACACAAATTTCCAGTGAAAGTGGATGTGGTTTCGGGTTTGGGGATGCGGATAGGATGGGGATGGTGATGCGGCCTAGCAAATAGCCAAACTTTGACCATAACACACATAACAAAAGCCTGGCATGTTAGGTTTTTCGGTTGCCGAACCGAAATACTTTTGGTCTGCGGCCAACAATGTGACATTGTGCGATGCCGGCGCTTTTCCATTTATTTTCCCATTATCCACTCACTCGCCTTTCCACGCCCAAACGATTTTAGCAACTAACTTGGCCAAGGAATGTTGCTAGCTCTGCAAGTCCTGCCTGGCCGGCAGCTTTTGGTCCTTCGAGGCGGGGTCTGGAGCGCCAGCGATGGCCGCCAGATGTCGCCCTCGGCGCCTGCGCATGCTCAATGAATGGGCCGCAGACCCGAACTCGAACTCGGTCCCCCAACCACCCATTTATTGGTAGTACGGTCCCACAGAGACACAGATTTCTGTTGTCGAAGCTTATAAATTTCCACAATTTGTTCAGGCCGGGCTTTTTGAAGTGCGGCCGAAGCGACGCCAATAAATACCAATAAATATATCATCAATATTTTCTTTTTGGGCCAGGCACTGAGAGAAAATATTGTGAAGATGTAGGCTTTAAAAACATTTGTAATTACAAAAACATTTACATTTAATAAGGAAAAGGAAAAATAAAAATATAAACAAATTTTGAAAATAAATAGGTAAGCACAAACAAACTAAAAAATGTTCAGGGTCCAATACCAACTGATTTAAACTTTCTAAAAATTTAAAGGTAGTAAGTAGTCAAATGTTATGTAAGAATATGTACACAAAATATTAAGAGTCCTCTCGAATATAAATTAATAATACATTTTGGGATATAAAATATTTTCAAATGTTGATGGCCCTTCCTTTGATTTTGACCATATAGTCATAATAAGAACCTACTTAAAAAATAGAAATAAATTAAAAAATTATAGTAGTGATAAACTTTTATCTAATGTAATCATTGTAAATGGTCAAACTATTTTAAAATTTGAAAAAGGTGCCTAATAAATTTTCACAAAAAGTTCTTTCCCTTTTCTTTCAGTGCATGATTCTGGCGCTGCATTCCGGCGGTTGACCACCGCTTAAAGATCACTGCCCAGTGGCCATGGCAGTGGCACGCACGATCTGAGAAAAGGCAGAATCAGAGGCAAATGCAATTTGCTGTCATGCCAACTCTTGACCAAGTGCCGGGCACTGCTCATCAATTAATTGCCCTGGCTGGTCTGGTTTTTGGTTTGGTTTGGTATGGTTTTGACTGTGGTTTCGGTTTGGAATGGGTTCGGCCCGCCCGGGGGCGTTTTGTCGGTGGGTTTTCAGTGGGTTTCGGGGGGGTTTGTCGACGGTGCGTGAGTCTTGGGCAGTGGGTCGCTGTGGTAGTCGCTGGCTGAGCTGCTAGCCCGCTGTTCAAATTATGGCCGCGCGTCAAAAGGAAATCGAAAATGTTGCACTAGTTGGCTGGACAAGCCATTAAAGGAAGGTCGCCTCACTGCACCGACAGCACAACCTTGGGGCCATGCCGTGTATCTAAAACACACCGATCTCCGATCCGATCCAGCACAACTCTCACGCATCTACGGTTTCACCTAACGCCGCTGTGACCCAAATCGGGAATCGGGCATCCACCATCCACCATCCACTCCCCTTTGATTTAGTGGACTCAAGACAAGATTGGAAATTAATTTTTATGCATCTCTTGTCACATTTGTGTTAATCAAAACATTATGACTGCGTTTTCTGCGTTTCTTTTTTATTAATTGAACAGCCTACTTCGGCAATCTAAACACCTGCGGAGGAGCCGGTGTGCCTAAGAGCCGAAAAGCTGGAACTGTCATTGCCATTGCCATTTGGACGCACTGCCTCTGCCCACAAAACAAATTAAATTTATTGCGTGTGATTTTGATAGCGCAGAGATACACAGAAATATTGCGTCAGTAACTAATTTGTTAGCTGACTGTCTGCTCATTGGAGATTGTAACGGGGCGCCACACTTGGGATTAGCTTGTAGTAGTATAGAAATCCCAGAAAAAATTGGTATACCATTATTTAAATTGATACGTTTTAAGCTTTAATTAAAAAAATATATAAATTGGTATTGGAAATTGTGTCATCAATACATTAGTAAAAAGTTTATATTACAAAAAATATTTTTAGATTTTATTTTATTAATGAAATAAAAGAAAGAAGAATGGCGATCTTATAAATTGTAAACAGAGTATTAATATTTTTGTGTTAACAGCTGATAACCGATTTTATGTTTTTTGAAGGCACTTAAAAACATTGTGTGGGTGGTGAAAATTGCAAGTTTCGGAGGCAAAGAGAGAGTGTGCGTGTGTATCTGTGTGAAAATGCGTGGGCTGCAACTGCCACTGCTCCCAAATTAAAGTGACAGCCCCAAGAAATTGAAAATGACTGTGAATGCGTGTCGTTAATGGGCTGTCCTAACCCCAGACTAAGGTTAAAGAAAGAGAAACTGAAAACTGGACAGGAAAGCAGGTAAACAGGTAAACAGCGGGGGTGGCCAATAGGAAAATTCATTTGCATAGGAGGCTGACTGAAAAGTGGCAAACATAAAACTAATAATCGTATTTAATGGCAGGGTTTGGATGTCGATGACGGGATTCCTTATTATTGGTTATTTTTAAACCTTTTTAATGAAAAATACGACTCATAAATTACCTTGTACAATAAACATGATATAAAGTTAATTTTAGCGACCGTATAAAACACTTCATTAAATGTTAAGCCAATCTTTAGCAATTAAATTGCCAATTTTGTTTAAAAAGAAAGTCTTTTCAGTTTGAATAAATTTTTTGGCGAAAGCATATTTTAAATCTTATATACATTTTAAGCTAATAAAAGGTTCCAAAAATGGTTCAATACAAAGCCTTTAGATCAGTGTTATTCATCTGTGTGTGGAATTGTGTACTGTACGTGTTGCGGCAGAGATCGAGCAGAGCCATTTCCCTTTTAACGAGAGGCTGTCGACCGCTGCTTTAAATGCATTGTTTAATTTCCACCAACTGAGCTGTCATAACTTTAAAATATTAGCCAAATTGTTACTCAACAGTCCCGCATTTAAAGCCGACCCAAGACCAACTAAGCCATTGCACTTCCTTCCACTTATAGGTCAGATCGGCTTATTCGATTACAAAACACATTTCCTATATCAAATTTGCATCTCGTGCGTTGAATAACAGCCCCTGCCAATTGTGGGAGGTTTATGAAAGGTTCAATGTTTCGGCCTCCTCGCAGACATCAGACATCAGACATGGCAAATGCGTTGCAGTTTTGAGTTTTTGGTTTTCAGTTTTTAGTTTTCAGTTTTGAGTCGCATTTCACAGTCAAAGACGAAGACGAACTCCAAGTCGCGGGATGAAAAAATTCCCACGTCGTGCGTGAGTGCGCGGGAAAATATTAAACAGATTTCCATGTCTCTGTTGCCGTCTCTGTCTGAGGAAAACATAGGGAAAATCGCTCTCAACCGCATTTAACAGCTTTGGAGATTCGATTTGAAAGCCGTTCGTCGTCGCCGATTTTTTGTTGGCATCGCATGTCGCGGCGTTTTTGCATGATTTCTAGTTAAAATGCAAAACTCAGACTGCGATAAATAAATATGCATGGCTTTGAACGCGCTGCAGCGAACAATGTGGAAAAAGGCAACCGAAAGCCAAAAACTTAAACTGACGAGCAGCGGATGCACAGCCCCCATCTATCCCATTCGATTCGATTCGATCCCATACCATCCCATCCAGCTATTCGGAATTGGCCGGCGAGCCAAGTTAACAGCGGCAAAACCACCAAACAGGCGGCGCAATTAGCCACCGCTGCCTGCTAGTTGCATTTTTTATTTGCTTTTTTGGTTTATTGGCCATTGAATGCACTGCTCCCCGACCACCTGTCCACCTGTCCTTCTGTCCGGCCAACAAATGAGCCACTGATAAATATTATTAGCGCACGGCCAGTCGCAGTTGCAACACCAAAACCACCGAAAACCAAGTGCAAGACCAGGACCTGCACCCAGAGCACACTGGAAAAAAGTTTGATGCTGAATTGGGATTTTCTTATTAGGAAATTATCATCAGGCATTCCTATCATATCAGTATATTTTCATATCTCTTTCCGATCCAACATCCAAAAATTAGAGTTATTTCTTATAATATCTTTATGATCTTATCTTTAATCTTTAAAAAGTTTTTATATTTATAAACTTAACGTCTTATTTTCACCGACATCATATGATATCAGTTTGAAATATTTGTACTCAGAAAATATCATCCGAAAAGTAAAAACCTATCATGGATTTGAGATATAAGAGCATAATCATTGTATTCATGTTGATTAAAAGATTTGAATGTTGTGTAAAATGTATATCTATGAATCCTCCTTTACCTACGGAGAGTATATGGTATATATTTAAATATTTTTAAAAAAATTAATATCAAAATTAATTTTTCCCAGTGCATAGATCGGCGCACTGGCTGCCACATTTGCGGCATAATCGCAATTTATTTAAATGCAACAGGGGGCAGCGGGTCTTGGGGATGGGACTATTGGCCACTACTCGAATTGTAGTCCTACCACAAGTGCGGCTACTGCCGCTGCTGCCAGTCTGCAATTAATATCGACATTTTAACACTTTACGTTGAATTATTGCATCTCTTACTTTTCCCGATTGTTATTATCAATGGGGGCAGACAGTCCGTTTAGCTAGTTCGGTGGTCTTGGGTCCCAAGGAGCCATGGCTTTGGGACCCATCAATGCCGCCGCAACCACTTTTTTTACTTTGTCTAGCTTATTTTGGCTCCTGCTTTTCAGATCCGGCCAAATCTCGGCTATTTCCTTTGCAATTGCACTATCGTATTTCGTTAATGGGCGGGAAATGCAACTGTCGCCGCACTCGAATGTCAAGGAAAACACCGCCGTAAGTAGATTGCCCTGGTCGCTGATTGAATAACGCCAATCGAGGTGTGATCTAACTAGTTCAGTGTCGGAAATTGCCAATCCTAAGAGTAGGAAAAAACTCGTAAAGTTGTTCCTTTGGCTGGTCAAGAAATGAAGTTGATCGGGTGTTAGGAAAAGGATTTATGTGGCAGTAAATAGATATGCAGTAATAGATAAAAAGAGATCTATACCAGTTCTTTTTGGGAAGTACATTATTATTAAATATACGGGAAAACCTATTAAATTCTGGGAAAACCTACTCCACATTTTATATTAAAATAAAAATAATAACCCTAATTTTTATGGGTATTAAAAATCAATTCAAAATGCCTTGCTCAAGTTTTTCCCAGCTTCTCACACATCCCGAAAAAACCTGTTGCTCGCACAAAGTTCCCAAAAATCCATGAAATGTTAAAACTTTCGCCAACTTCCCTTAACGAACTGGCGGTCGTTTAATCACAAATCAACTTTCACGCCCCCAAAAACCAAAAAATATGAGCTCTCGTCTTGAGCGCTCACTTAAAGCTAAAGCTAGCCCACATTAATCTACAATTACTTTGTATGCCCCGATGGCCGATGGCCAAAACCGCGAAAAATGACTCAATTTAAATCAATAAAGGGCAGGGAAACGGGCCAAAGAGCCAAAGAGTGCACGTGGTGACCCCGAGTAGAGGTGCAGGGGCTAGAGGGTGACCCACCGTCGTCGTCTGAATGGCCGCGTACGAGTGCCAGATCAACTTCGGACTGAGGGGCTGCGGATCGTAGCGCAGGCGGGCATATTGCTTCATGAATATTTTCCAGATTGCATAAGCCATCGTCGAAGCGTCTCCGGTCATAAAGATCGATATCCACATGCAAATTATATGCGTGCCAGGAAACCGCCGGCACTTCCCATCCAATCCAGATTCGGGTTTGGGTTCGGACCAGGACTGCGATTTTTCGGAGCCCCGACTTAATGCGTAGTTTGTTGTGTTGCGTTTATTGTTTTCATAAATAAAGAAAAGGCACTCCGAAATTTGTCGGCTTGCATTATTATTATTATTCCTTATTATTATTGTTGCAATGGCAATTCACTTGGCGATCGGCCGGCCAGCAGACAGATTCACTTCATTTTTCACAGCACAAGCGCAAAAATTGAACGAAAAAAAATGTGAAATAACCGATCCGAACGGCTTAAACCAACAAAGGCAAAAGGCTGGGCGCATACAAAAGGAAGGCAGTGTGGCAGACTCTCGGCTCCCCCTTCTCGTGATCTTGTGTATTATTTTAATATTTATTTACATTTTGAGCATTTTGCATAACGCGCGGGTCACGACGGAAATCGTCGGCTGGCAATTTATCAATACATAGTTGTGTGGCCTAAAGGAAGGAGCCGCCGTTAAAGCCAGGGAAAAAGCCAGAAAGGTTCACAGACGCGAAATCAAAACAAATGAAAAACGCGCCAAAAAATCAAAACGCGCACAAATTTTGGTTCGCTGGGCGTTATTATTTTTCTCGGTTGTTTTTTTCCGAATCGGTCGAAGAGATCAATATAGAGGAAAAACTTCAAGACCCATGAGAGTTGTCCGTCTGTCCGGGAAACGAGTTCAAAGCGTTTGCGGCGGCCGCTTTGCACCAACTAAATTGAAATGAGCGGAGCGCGAAAAGCTATGGAAAAGCCCCGTCGAATCGAGGGTGTATCTCACAGATACTCAGCCATTTTCCACTGCAGGCTTCAATGATTTTCCATGCGTGCGAACGCCTATTTGAATTTGGCCTGGGCTTTTCGCTATTTGCGCTCTATTCGAGCCCAGCTCAGCTGACTCAACTGAATCGCCTGATTGAATGGCCGGTAGAAAAACGCTCGGGGAACATCAATGGCAGCAGCAACAATAAACACAACACACCCACAATTATCGGTGATTTATGGTGATACAACCAAGGATATCTCAGCTTTGACAGGCGCTTGGTCACCGGTTGCATTAGAATACAATCAGGGAATGAATATTTTTACATATATTTCAAAGAACCATGTTGTTCCAATTCATTGTTAAAATTTTCGACAACCCAAAAAATATACAACATTTAAGTCAGCTAGGAGAACAATGTCCAATTAAAACAGGGTTCAAGAAGGAATTATCATGGGTTCAAAAAAAATATTATATATTTTTTATAATCCTAACTTTGAACCGGAAATATTATTATTCAATCAATTAAACAAATATTATTTGTTAAGGCTTGATTAACAAATCTTTTAAAACTTCCCATATATATATACGAAAAGATCTCAGGTTATATCAGATAGCTAGTTCCATAATTAAAATTTCCTTTCTAAAGAGTATCTTAAGGTTCGTCTTGCCAAATCCAAAAGTTTCGTTCACTTCCATTTAGTCAGTATTTCAGGCTTGGGACTGGGGTCTGTTTTAAGCACAATGTTATTGTTTGCCCCGCTCTATAGCCCCCACCATTGTATTGGGCCCATCCCTCTGTCATAATTGTGAATACAAAGCATCATATAGACATCTTTAACTCCTGCCTTGAACTTGGCCAGTTCTCATATACAAAATAGAGGCATGTATATAGGGGCTGTCCATATATATTTTGTTTGCTACTTTGTCGGCCTTTGGCTCATGCCTTTTGACAGCCATTTGTTTACGATGCCAGACGCAGGTTTTCCTGAAAACACAAGCTGGTAATGCTAACGAGCTGGGGTTCCAGGGTTCCTTTGGTTCCAGGGCCCGAGATCCCCATGCGATTTCTTTAATCGGAACACGCGATGAGTGTTTACTCCGCTTCAGTTTCCTAAAATCTGGGCAGTCGCTGAAACTTCGAGTGGTGAGAATAAACATTTGGCGGCGGGATAAACATAAATATCGGTGTGGCCCATAAATATAAGTATTAAGTGCTCTTCCCGGCGGGTCTGCCATATTTTCATTTGTAATGCGAACGAACATTAGAATAAAGTTTCATCGCGAGTAAGAGTATCAATATTTCCGCAATCAATTAAAGTCAATTAATCTCCAAGCTTAATGCGGGTAATTGTGATTCACTAGTTCGTGATTTGATTCCGGTTTTATGACTAGTTGTATGAGTTCATCTGCCCTTTGAAAATAATATTAAATTGTCTAAAATAATAGAAATTAACTTCGTGCATTAAGGCAATTGAAACGAAGCCCTTTATAATAGAAACATTACAAGTTAGCCCATTTATTTTGTAAAATCAATCGCCCCGCCTAATGCCATAAAAATAAAACACCTATTTTGCAGTCTATTGGCTCATATCAGTGGCCGACCAAATATTAGAAAACTTTTTAATATGCCTGGGGCGTTCAACTTAACCCCTACGTGCTCTGTTTGAGATCCGCATTGTTACAAACACAAAAATTTCGAAATCGCACAAATGCCAACTACAAATAATTGCCAAAAATCACCGGCAAAGTCAACTTTCATAAAACGGCATTCAATTTGATTTGCACAATTTGGGGGCCTCTTAACGGCTCCTCGACGGTCGGTTGGTTTTCACATTTGTGGCATTTTGGCGTTTGTTTGAACTGATAACAGGCTGGAAGTGCCTTTCAGGCTGACAGCCATAATCGCTCAACGCCAACTGTTTGCCAGGATGGAGTAGTTGGGGTGTTTTTCTGGGGAGCTTTTGGGGGTCAGGGGTTGAAGCATGGTTTTGGTGTAGAACCAAGCCTATGTCTCCGGCAGGTCGATGGACACACCCACCCGGCAAAACCGGCAGAAAGCGGAAACGGAACAAAGCCTCAGACAGTGGGCACCTTCACCTCAGACCACTCCAAGCTACAAACTGTGATGGAGAAATTATAGCCAGTCACGCGAGTGCGAAACTTTTCTAACCCTTCTTCAGCCGGCTGTGCCCCGATTCACAGGAAAACCAGAATTAGCTAAAAACTGCACCGAAAGCCCGAAATGATTGTATTTAATTGAATTTGCAGCCAGGCTGAATAAGTTTTAATTGAATTCTAGCTAAAATCTAAGGGTTGTGAGGTGGAGTGATGACCCACTTGGGATCTAATGCAGGATGAGCTGCACAGGGGGAAAAAATTAGCCTAATTGGAAAGTCTATACATGCCAAGCAAATGGTATGCACATATATATCGAGCTGTATTTTAATTATTATGGTAATATAGAAACTGAACTAAAAAAGCAAACTTATATACTCGTACAATAGTAATAGAGTGCTGACTTTATTGACTCTAAAAAAGTGCTAAACATTAAAGTAATGGGAAAAATCTGGAATGTCATTCTAGTAACTATTTGCCAATAATGTTAATGACGTGAGATGTTTTCCTGTATATTAAGGTAATTCCTTAATTGGCTGTCTATTTTTTTGATTATGATATTTTCCACAAAGTATAATAATTTTACCATCGCATATTTGTATCTGTTTTATATTGTTAGAACTAAACTTACCCTAATAGAAACCCTCACCATAAAGTTGTTAACAGCTTTTGAAACAGCTGTATACAAGTGTTACAAATCAGAAAATAACTTAACTAGTCTCATAATAACAAAACAAAAACAAATTCCGTGTAGGAGTTACTGTTATATAGTGAAATGTGGTCTTTTAAATGTAGTGAATAACCTAAATTTATCACATTTTTACATAGACATCGTTATGATACTCAGTAAAATAAATAACCAGTGATCTCATTTTAAAGCCCATGTAAACAATTTATCATCATTGGAACTGAGAAACTCTCGTATTATGTTTAAAATTTACATTTCAAAAATTTGGAACAGACTTCAGTATAGGGTATGCTACTATCTCCCAAAAAGGAACCCTAACTATTACATATGTAAATGGAGCTATGAAATAGCTGTTTACAAATGTTACTAAGCTTGGATTCAGCTAATAGCTTCGTAATATCAAAATAAAATCAGATTCAGATTATGATTTGCTGTTATATAGTTAAATGGTTGACTATTTTTAATTCGCTATCTCCCAATTTCTTCCGGTGCACTCACGTGACATTGCCTCCTGGCCAGGCGGCGCTTTATCCACTTGAACGCCTCCTGGCGGCGGCGGACGAAGGACATGCTGGAGCGGTGCCACAGGTGCAGGACGATTACGAGGAGGCGCTGCACCCAGACTCCGAACCGCTCGCTCACCTCCCTTCGCAGCTGGAACATTAAGCACTGCACTCAAGACCCACTTTCCTCGGAACTAAATACCATTACTTTCGGCGGATTATTCGCTTGAATTCGTTTGATTTCTGGTTAATCGCGGTGATATTCCTGGGTGGTAGGGCCAAAGACCCGGGATCTTATAGAATTTCACTTTTGTTTTGGGGGGCGGTACGCGGTACGGACTGCGGTCTACGGACTCGTTGTTACTTCAGTTGGGTTTGTTGTTTGACTGAGAATGCCGTCGAGTTTGTTTCCCCGCCTGGGCGAAACACTGGGTGAGTGTGAGCAGGAGAGAGAGACCCGTTGGAGACTTGAGACGGAGAGCCCTGCACTTGCGATTGTCACCGGTGATACTCACTTTTCTATTCGTTTCTTCTTTTTTTTTTTGTGGCTTTTCGCGTTTTGTTTATACAATTTTGTGGAGCGGCCCGCGTGCGTGTGGCTTACTGAGAAACCCAGAAAAACGTACTACTCGCGCATAAATAATGCAATAAGTTGGGGCCCCAGCGAAACGAGACAAAAACAAAAGGCGGAAAAAATTGAAAAAAAATCGAAACCGTTTCTGCATTCGTATCGCACACACATCACACCTCTCCCGCTGTCCGAATACTCGGCTTTTAACCGAGCTTTGCACTCAATTTGATTGCCGGCAGAAGCGGCTGCACAACCCAGAGTCAAGCGACATGTGAACACGAACACCCAGGGGAGGCCAATTGTACGGTGAAGGCGAAGGTGTTGCTGTTGTAATGCTCGGCCTAGGCACAGTGGGTGGAGGTCTGGCGAACAAATGAAGAAAATTCAATACCAAATAGCCAAGATATATTAAAGTATCCACTCACAATATTGGTTTCATTATGAACTCAGGCATGGTAGACAGTACGTTTCTTACATGCCTAGTAGTCTACTTTCTCTAGTCAAAAAAAGCTAGTTCCTTACAGTGTGACCAAAGTTTTCAGAGATCGTACCATGTACTTACTGTCAAACAGCTGGAATGTTCAACGGATTTTTTCTATTTATGTAAATTAGTAGCTTAAAGCTTCCTTATCATCCCACAGAAGCTTCGTCATCTTCGCCATTTTGACAGCAGCTGTTTAGCTCCGATTCCCAACATGCCAGCATGAGTCTTGAGGGAGGTGGAGCCGAGTTGGGAACGGGAATGGTCTGCTGGTGATGACTTCTCCAGCTTTCCCTTACCGGGCGGCCATTTTGCCTCCCTATAGAAGCACACATATAATATTAATAGTATAAAATCGTACACCTCCGATCCTTCCAAGCAACTGGAGATAATGAAGGCCACCATTTACCCAATGGAGAGCTCGTCGGAGATTGTATTTCTGGTAGTTTTGGTAAAAACATATTACATCGTAACCAATTTTTTTTTACTCCGGCACCAACTTCCCACTTGGCACGCTTCTTCCTATTGGTCTTCTCCATTGGATCACCCCCAGTACTTCTTGCTAATTTGCCATGTTATTTTAAGCGACGGTAAAATGTTTTATGTTTGATTTTTCCGTAATTCATCTTGGCTTCCAGAATGGGAACCCAAAACTGAACTACTAGATTTCATAAATTGGATTATTGGTTCTCGATTAGGACGTGGGATATCTCTATGAGTTAGAGGTTAAATTCTCTAATATTCTGCATTAAAATATTGTTTTTAAAGGGCTTTCAGAATGGGAACCCAAAACTGCACTTCTAAACTTCACAACTTAAGTTGTTGGATACCGATTTTGAAGCGTGATACCTCTACGAGTTTGTGGTAGGATTCTCTAATATTCTGTATTAAAATATTGCTTTTAAAGGAGGGTCAAATATTTTACCCATTTTCATGTTCGATTTTTCCGTCAATCCAAGGGCTTTCAGAATGGGAACCCAAAACTGCACTTCTTGATTTAATAGCTTTGGTAGTTTGTCCCCGATTTTGAAGTGTGATACCTCTATGAATTTGTGGATGAACTTTCTAATAACTTGCATTCAAATACTTCTTGTTAACGAGGGTCGAAATTTTGACCCATTTTCATGTTCGATTTTTCCGTATTTCCAATGGGTTTCAGAATGGGAACCAAAAACTGCACTTCTAGATTCCATAACTTGTATAATTTGATCCCGATTTTGACGTGTGATACCTCAATGAATTTGTGGTGGAATTCTCTAATAATCTGCATTCAAATATATCTTTTAAGCGATGGTCGAAATTTCGACACATTTTCATGTTCGATTTTTTCGTATTTCCAGTGGCTTTCAAAACGGGACCCCAAAACTGCACTTCTAGATTCCATAACTTTGGTAATTTGATCCCGATTTTGAAGTGTGATACCTCTATGAATTTGTGGTGGAATTCTCTAATAATCTGCATTCAAATATATCTTTTAAACGATGGTCGAAATTTCGACCCATTTTCATATTCGATTTTTCCGTATTTCCAATGGGTTTCAGAATGGGAACCCAAAACTGCACTTCCAGATTCCATAACTTGTGTAATTTGATCCCGAATTTGACGTGTGATACCTCAATGAATTTGTGGTGGAATTCTCTAATAATCTGCATTCAAATATATCTTTTAAACGATGGTCGAAATTTCGACACATTTTCATGTTCGATTTTTTCGTATTTCCAGTGGGTTTCAAAACGGGACCCCAAAACTGCACTTCTAGATTCCATAACTTTGGTAATTTGATCCCGACTTTGAAGTGTGATACCTCTATGAATTTGTGGTGGAATTCTCTAATAATCTGCATTCAAATATATCTTTTTAACGATGGTCGAAATTTCGACCCATTTTCATGTTCGATTTTTCCGTATTTCCAATGGGTTTCAGAATGGGAACCCAAAACTGCACTTCTAGATTCCATAACTTGTGTAATTTGATCCCGATTTTGACGTGTGATACCTCAATGAATTTGTGGTGAAATTCTCTAATAATCTGCATTCAAATATATCTTTTAAACGATGGTCGAAATTTCGACCCATTTTCATGTTCAATTTTTCCGTCAATCCAAGGGCTTTCAGAATGGGAACCCAAAACTGCACTTCTTGATTCAATAACTTTGGTAGTTTGTACCCGATTTCGAAGTGTGATGCCTCTATGAATTTGTGGTTGAATTCTCTAATAATCTGCATTCAAATATTTATTTTCAACGAGGGTCGAAATTTTGACCCATGCTCATGATCGATTTTTCCGTATTTCAAATGGTTTTCAGAACGGGAACCCAAAACTGCACTTCTAGACTCCATAACTCGAGATTTTGCTGTCCGATTTTGACGTAAGATACCTCTTAAGGTTTGTGGTCGAATTCTCTAATATTCTACGTTCAAATATTTTTTTCAAAAGAGGGTCACATTTTTAACTCATTTTCATGTTCGATTTTTTCGTCAATCCAAGGGCTTTCAGAATGGGAACCCAAAACTGCACTTCTTGATTCAATAACTTTGGTAGTTTGTACCCGATTTCGAAGTGTGATGCCTCTATGAATTTGTGGTTGAATTCTCTAATAATCTGCATTCAAATAATTATTTTCAACGAGGGTCGAAATTTTGACCCATGCTCATGATCGATTTTTCCGTATTTCAAATGGTTTTCAGAACGGGAACCCAAAACTGCACTTCTAGACTCCATAACTCGAGATTTTGTAGTCCGATTTTGACGTAAGATACCTCTAAAGGTGTGTGGTCGAATTCTCAAATATTCTACGTTCAAATATTTTTTTCAAAAGAGGGTCACATTTTTAACACATTTTCATGTTCGATTTTTCCGTAGTTTCAAAGGAATTATAGACGTAGTTATTACTCTGTGCGTATATATGAGGTGTCAGTGTAGTTGTGTCTTACAGTGCATGTCTAAGTGTATCTGTGGGGCAAATTTTGTCGCAGCACGCTAATTTCAAGATAGGTTTACAACATTAAGGCATTTTCGGTGCAACACCCCTATATCATCCCCTCAAGCCGACGAGCGCAGCCTCTGCAACGCAAAAGCAAGGAAACACAGACTTGCTACTCTGGAAGAATCGGAAAATGAATCTGAACAGGATTTTAATACTAATAGCATTATCGCTCAAAATGAATTTAAAAACGAACTAAAGGGAAATATTAGCGATTGAAGCTCTATTTTAGATAAATGGGAAACAACTTTTGAACTTCGGAGAAAGGACCTGGAATTGATGGAGGCGCGAAAACTTATGGAGGAATGGCCAAAATTTCGTGACAGTCGGGCTATTGAGTTGTTTTTTATAGACGTAGTTATTACTCTGTGCGTATATATGAGGTGTCAGTGTAGTTGTGTACAGTGCATGTCTATGTGTATCTGTGGGGCAAATTTTGTCGGAGCACGCTAATTTTAAGATAGGCTGACAATATTGAGGCATTTTCGGTGCAACACCCCTATACCATCCCCTCAAGCCGACGAGCGCAGCCTCTGCAACGCAAAAGCAAGGAAACACAGACTTGCTACCCTGGAAGAATCGGAAACTGAATCCTAACAGGATTTTAATACTAATAGCATTATCGCTCAAAATGAATTTAAAAACGAACTAAAGGGAAATATTAGCGATTGGAGCTCTATTTTAGATAAAAGGGAAACAACTTTTGAACTTCGGAGAAAGGACGTGGAATTGATGGAGACGCGAAAATTTATGGAGGAATGGCCAAAATTTCGTGACAGTCGGGCTATGGAGTTGTTTTTATAGACGTAGTTATTACTCTGTGCGTATATATGAGGTGTCAGTGTAGTTGTGTACAGTGCATGTCTATGTGTATCTGTGGGGCAAATTTTGTCGCAGCACGCTAATTTTAAGATAGGTTGACAACATTGAGGCATTTTCGGTGCAACACCCCTATACCATCCCCTCAAGCCGACGAGCGCAGCCTCTGCAACGCAAAAGCAAGGAAACACAGACTTGCTATCCTGGAAGAATCGGAAACTGAATCTGAACAGGATTTGAATACTAATAGCATTATCGCTCAAAATGAATTTAAAAACGATCTAAAGGGAAATATTAGCGATTGGAGCTCTGTTTTAGATAAATGGAAAACAACTTTTAAACTTCGGAGAAAGGACCTGGAAATGATGGAGACGCGAAAATTTATGGAGGAATGGCCAAAATATCGTGACAGTCGGGCTACTGAGTTGGTAAGTTGTTTGCAACCTTTTTATAGACGTAGTTATTACTCTATTTTATATGTTCGACAGCAGTTAACCTTGGAGTTTTCCTTGTTGTACCCAAGCCGCGAAGCTTTAATGCCAGGAAAGTGGGATGACTTTCGAACCAGGATACTGGATTATTATAGGGACAACATTAACCCTATATTCAAGGAGCTGTACAAGAAATTACCTGCTGCACAAAACATGGACTCGACGGATTATATGATAACGACTTTGCTCCCTGCGGTGCTGGCGCCCACAACATGGTACAAGGATGCAAGAGGACAACGGAAAAAATTCAGCATGATGGACTCCAAGGAAAGTTTGGTTCTTCGCTTGCCAGAAGGCACAGAAGTGAGCCAGATTGATTTACAAATTAGGGACATTATGTTCAACAACTACGGGTATAACTACCCAATTCAACCCCTTTTAATTGTTGAGGGTTCCGATTCTGTCTCAATAACCTCTTGCTTTGTACATTTTGATAGTAGGTTGCATAAGTATAACACATTTTTAGAAGCTTTAGACTCTTGTTTTAAAATTTTCATGTCATTTCGTTTAAAGTATCCGAAGGCTTCCCAGGGGCCTTGGACATTTGTTCAAAAAAATGTATATGAAATAGACACAGAATACGATATTAAATCTCCAAACTTAACTAGAATTATACATTACTTTAAAAATTAAATGAAGTCTAATTGTCAAAACTTTTTATTATAAGTTGAAAACATGTGGTAAATGTATATGTCTATCTATGCACGAAAATGTATTAAAAAATGGAATAGTTAAAAAAACTGCAAATTAAAATCGAATTTTTGTATTAAATATTTCACATAAATACAAAAACATATTGTTCAATAAAACATATACTAAACTGAGAGATCTAATTTTAAAATAATTAAATTCTTTACGTCACATAAGACAATAATTTCATCAGGATATGATATATTTTTAAAAAATTGTTTAATATTTTATATATTTAAAAAAAAATTGTTTAATAATATTTAGAAAAAGACGTAGAAATATCGGTATATTCGATTATATATTTTTTTATTTTAATAAAAAGTCGATTTAGTGCTGAAAAGCATTTTAAACCTTTTTATTTTACATAGACAAAACTACATAAAGTATTCTAAAAAACAAAGTATATTTTCTAAGAAAGCGTCTACATTTGATTGCATCGATTTACCCGCTTGGTTATGTGATTGTCAACCGACTACGTGAATCGCAACAAAGTACTCAAAAGCGGACGATAGTCGCTCCAAAGGTACGGAGCTAAATGGAGCAACCAGATAACTGCGAGCAGAGGATTGGGTTTCAATTTAATAATGAAGTGTAACACATGTGTTCCAACGAAAATTCCTTCTTGCCCTTGCATAAAAAACGCTTTCGAAGTCAATCGCAGACTTGTTTTTGCCATGAGGATGCTTGGAGTCTCTCAAACCGGAGCCGAAAAATTTTGCGCCTTCATGGACCTTCCTCGGCCCCTCTTTCCGAAAACGTATTCTGAATTGACCGAAATCGTTAGAAACGCTTCAGAAAAGGTAAAATATATGTCAATCAAGAGTGCAGGTGATGAAGAAAAACAGCTAACGTTGGAGAACAATGCAGATTTCGTCGGATTGACCGTCTCAGGCGATGGCAGTTGGCGGAAACGTGGTTTCAGTTCTTTACATGGCGTGGTTTCCCTAATCGGATATCGTAGTAAGAAAGTGCTTGAATTTACGGTTAAATCCTCACATTGCCATGCATGCTCTTTGTGGAAAAATAAAAAAGGTACAGCTGAGTACGATTCATGGTACGAAGAGCACGAGGAATCGTGCGATGCGAATCACGTTGGTCCCTCTGGAAATATGGAGCCGCACGCTATGGTTGAGATGTTTCAAAGGTCGGAACAATTGCATCAAGTAAAGTATGATTGTTACGTCGGCGACGGCGATTCCAAGACATATAATGAAGTCGTCGAGAATGTTCCTTATGATGTGACGAAAAAAGAATGCGTCAATCATGTATTCAAACGCATGGGTACTCGATTGCGCAATTGCAAAAAAACCACTAAAGGTCTTGGAGGCAGGGGTAAGCTTACTGATAAGATTATTAAGGATCTTACCCTTTATTACGGGTTAGCTATAAGGCGCAACATGGATTCTTTAGAGAATATGAAAAAAGCCATATGGGCAAACTTTTTACATAAATCTTCCACCGATTCACATCCAAAGCACGAAAATTGCCCGGAAGGTCCGGAATCTTGGTGCCAATGGCAAAAGGCTCGCGCGCTCGGAAAACTGAAAGGTTTTGAACACAAACCTGCATTACCCCAAGACGTTCTGGATGCTATAAAGCCGATATATACTGATCTCAGTCGTGACGATCTCTTAAAACGATGCTTGGGTGCTTTCAATCAGAATAACAACGAAAGTTTCAACAACGTTATCTGGAAATTCGCGCCGAAAACAACGTTCAATGGAGTAACAACTGTACATATTGCAGCAAACATAGCTATTATATTTAATAATGGTCACACAGCACTTCTACGTGTGTTAGAATTCATGGGAGTCTGTATCGGAATGAATCTTTACGATTACTGTCAAAAGATTGACAAAGAACGCATCAATTACGCCAATCGTCATACCCTGGCAAACACGCGTGAAGGACGTTTGCATGCCCAGGAATTGCGCCAAAAACAAATGATGGATGCGGAAGAGCTGCTCTACGGTCCAGGGATTGCCGAGTAACAAAATAAACCACGTAAGACCTTTTAAACTACCTTTTTCAATTCGATTTGACCCTTTCAAAACTTTAAACGCGGTTATCTCGAAACCATGTTTTTTGACCTGGTTGACAGCATAACTGAAAAAATTCTTATCCGATCGACCTGATCCAAATGGCATTCTATTCGGGAAAAGTGTCGTTTCAGTTGGACGTAGCCGTTTTTTGATATATGTAAATTTTTTTTTTATAAACAATTAAGTGCAAAATTTTACGCGAAAAAAAAATTTTTTTTTTCAAACAGCCGCCATTTTTTTTCTAATCAATATTTTTAAAATCCCATATGTCGAACGATAGCCAGTAATGTATATTTCAAGAATCTGTTTGGTTTTTTGATCTAGGTGGCGCCGTTTTGCTGATTTGCTGTCAACCAGGCAAGGGAAGTTTCAAAAAGACGCCATTTTGGATCAGCTACAAAAGAAAAACATGGCCGCCAAAAAAAAAAAAATTTTTTTCCGATAATTCAAACATTGATTAACATATTTGTAAAGTTTAAAGTTAATCGGAACGTCCGTTTTTCTGTAATAAATAAAATAAAAACCATGTCAAAAATCGCAGTTTACAGTGTTGGGGCCCCTTAAAAACGAGACAAGAATTTTCTTGTAAATTGTAAAATCTCAAAACCAAGACAAGAAGAGAGAATAACTCCGACCGCGATCACCGAGTGACGGCAATAGATTAAACCACATCACTTGATGTTTGATCCCTGCCAGATCGGCAGTTTCTCTTCTTCTTCACCCTTCTTCAGAGTTGCAATTTTGTAAAAATCCTAAACACTAAAAATACCTTTAATTTGAATCAGCTGTTTTCAAATGAAAGGGGACCCAGACTAACAACGCACGGATGTGTGGCAACGCTTGCAAAAAGTCTACACCCGCACAAATTTAAAGGGGGTTAAATTATCCTGATAAATTGCTAAATGAGCTAACATAAGGACTCCTGACATGCACATTTTTATAAAATTTACTATTAAAATGCAATTTAAATACGTTTTATTATTAAATACGTTAAATACCTTTCATCATTAAAAAGCAATTTAAATACGTTTCATTATTGAAATGCAATTTAATTACGTTTCATTATTAAATACGTTTCATTATTCAAATGAGATTTAAATACGTTTTATTATTAAAATGCGATTTAAGTACGTTTCATTATTAAAATGCAATTTAATTACGTTTCATTATTAAAATGCGATTTAAAGTCGTTTCATTATTGAAATGCAATTTAATTACGTTTCATTATTAAATACGTTTCATTATTAAAATGCAATTTAATTACGTTTCATTATTAAAATGCAATTTAATTACGTTTCATTATTAAAATGCGATTTAAATACGTTTCATTATTAAAATGCAATGTAATTACGTTTCATTATTAAAATGCGATTTAAATACGTTTCATTATTAAAATGCGATTTAAATACGTTTTATTATTAAAATGCAATTTAATTACGTTTCATTATTAAAGTGCGATTTAAAGTCGTTTTATTATTAAAATGCAATTTAAATACGTTTCATTATTAGAATGCGATTTAAATACGTTTTATTATTAAAATGCGATTTAAATACGTTTTATTATTAAAATGCGATTTAAATACGTTTTATTATTAAAATGCGTTTCACTATTAAAATGCGATTTAAATACGTTTCACTATTAAAATGCAATTTAAGTACGTTTCATTATTAAAATGCTATTTAAAGTCGTTCATTATTAAAATGCAATTTAAATACGTTTCATTATTAAAATGCGATTTAAATACGTTTTATTATTAAAATGCAATTTGAATACGTTTCATTATTAAAATGCGATTTAAATACGTTTCACTATTAAAATGCAATTTAATTACGTTTCATTATTAAAATGCAATTTATTTACGTTTCATTATTAAAATGTAATTTAATTACGTTTCATTATTAAAATGCGATTTAAAGTCGTTTCATTATTAAAATGCCATTTGAATAAGTTTCATTATTAAAATGCGATTTAAATACGTTTTACTATTAAAATGCAATTTAATTACGTTTCATTATTAAAATGCGATTTAAAGTCGTTTCATTATTGAATTGCAATTTAAATACGATTTATTATTAAAATGCAATTTAATTACGTTTCATTATAAAAATGCGATTTAAATACGTTTCACTATTAAAATGCGATTTAAAGTCGTTTCATTATTAAATTGCAATTTAAATACGATTTATTATTAAAATGCAATTTAAATACGTTTCATTATTAAAATGCGATTTAAATACGTTTCATATTAAAATGCAATTTGAATACGTTTCACTATTAAAATGCAATTTAATTACGTTTCATTATTAAAATGCTATTTAAAGTCGTTTCATTATGCAATTTAAATACGTTTCATTATTAAAATGTGATTTAAATAGGTTTCATTATTAAAATTTGAATACGTTTCATTATTAAAATGCAATTTAATTACAAACATTAAAAGAACAAAGGTTTAAAGGTTTTTGATTAGGTTCCAGAGTGGTTCTACGTTTTTGTATGTTTCCATAGTGACTTAAGTAGTTTGTATTAAATATTATTTCACATTTTCCCACATCCCAGAACCACTGTTCCTGGCCAGTTCGTGTGTGGGCGTTTCTAGGCAATTCCCTTGCACCGAACCTCGTCGAAGTGCAAGTGCCGCTTGGCGACGAAGGCAAACAAGTGTTTTGGGTGTCTGCTACTGAGGGCGGGGAAGACAAAAGCCCATGAAACTGGGAACGTCCATCGGAAAGCTTTTGGACCGTAGATTAATGTTGCTGGTCGTGTTGTTGTTTTGTTATTTACTCGCTCGTTGCTAGTACGGTTATTTATTTATTTATGCTAATGTGGTTGGCAGAGCCGCTGACGCTGCATTTGCATTGTTTAGAATGAGAACAGCGAGAAAACGAGCCCAGCCAACAAAAAAAAAGGGGCAAAGACAAGAGGTACAACAACGATTACAACAACCTACAAGCTGCAACAGTAGCAACAAAATCACAAGTGGCACTCACGCGACAAAAGCCCATAAGTAAAGTGTTCTCATGACTATCTCGTTGCCTGTGCGATATTTTCGAGTATCTGAAGTACAGAGGATAAATTTGTAACCTTCTGAAAAATATTAAGAGATCAATAAAGATGATATATACTGCCAGTAATCATTATAAAAAGTTTTGTTAAATGTTATATAAAAAAAAATTAATATCCCAATTTTTTAGGAACACATCCATCAAACACCCAAGTTTTTTTCATTGTGTGTTTACATTTTGAGTACGGGCATATAGAAAGTTCGGAGTTCCCATCGCGGAGAAATTGATGGAAAATTCTCAGCACGTTCGTCAGCTGATTCTCCTGCTCTCTTTGATAGACAACTGGGCGTCCGATCATCCAGCTAAACTTACGATCTTTAAAGTATGGGTTTCAAATAAACCTGTGCCTACGCGGAAGCAGAACCGAAGATGTCACCGCTGGTTACGATAGTCTATGGGGATCCAAATACCAAGCCCAGGTGATTTTGCTTAATAAATATCGCAATTCATTTAGCGATTGAGTTTAAGATCGGCGATAGCCACCGCCTGGCACGGTTTGCTGGGATTAAAGTTAAATAACTTAAATAGCTGGCAATCGGAACCCGAAGAATGTGACACCTCACACCACGAACTATTTCTTTAACAATTAGGTTTAGTTCTGTGGAATTCTTAAAGCCTTTTTTTAAATTGTTACTCAAACCCTTGTTATATATATTTTGAAATACATAATTATCTGTTTAAATACCTTTGAAAAACGTTTCATTCAGTTGACATTTATTGTTGTTTACAATCGTAACAGAATTTTGAGCTTCGAAATCAGAGCTCTGTTCTTTATATATTTTCTAATTCGCACTTCACTATGGATCCTCCCAATGTGGGTAAAGATTTTGCGGATAAGGTTCGCTTTCACCTGAGTAAGGATGAGTTGGAGCGCCAGATGCGGAAAATTCATGGACGTGGTGATGCTCTGAGCCGGCCTTCAGGCAGCGGAAACAGCTCGAGTTCGTCGAATAGTGTACCACAGCTGGAGTCATGGATCTTCGAGAGCGTTGGGGGTTACTACCTTCCCAATGAGGATTTGTCCAAGATGCCGCTGCCTCGTCAGGAACAGTTACTGATGAGGGATCTCATCTATGCCTTTTCGGGGGTACCCACTTCTCATGTCAAGCCCGATATCCAGCTCGATCAGATCTCTGAAATGAGTTCCGTGGATATAGCCAAGGTTCGCTTTCGCTTGGATGATGTCTTCAATGCGGCCTTCAAGGCCTTGGCCAATGAAGTAATGCCCCTGATAGGTTACTATATAAGTGTGCAGAGCTTTATAGAGGAGACCAACATGTCACCAAATTGTGGAAGAACGCGACTGGCCTTGGCCACCGCTTTGGGCGACCAAATGCAGGACTACTACGATCTCCAGGCCAAGTTGGAGACTAATTTGCAGGAAAAGAAGTTGAATCTCAAGGAACTGGTGCGACAGGTGCGTCCATGGTTGTCTATCTTGAAGGTTCTTTCCTCTATGGCCAGCAGCTCCCGGGGTAAGTTGACCAGCGCCCAGTTGCTAACATTGTTGGATCAGTTTTACCGGGATCAGAAGACTTCTGAACCCGATCTTAAGGAAAGGGTGACCAAGATCATGTCCGCTGTAACTCATGTCTACATGAAGATCGTTCAGCTGTGGATGCAAAAGGGTGTTCTATACGATACACAGCGTGAGTTCTTTGTGGAGGACACGGAACGTTCGAATGCAATGAGTAGTACGCTTTTGGCGCCGGAGAAATGTTGCCATGCCTACTGGGCCCAGCGGTACCGTCTTCTCCCAGATCGTTTGCCCGCCTTTCTGCTTCCCCAGGCGGATGAGGTGTTTCTGGCCGGGAAGTACCTGAATATCCTGCGCCAGTGCAACGTGACCATGAAGCTGTTGCAGCTGCCACTCGCCTATAATCCTG